ATTGATCACAATTCTAGTACATGACAACCAATGTCATGCTTTTTTCTTAAGGGAACCCCTAAGGGTGGAGAAATTTTCTAGACTTTACCACTGAGCCGTCTGTCTGTTTCAGCCTGTTTTACTCATTCTTGGTCAGTTCTGAGTCAGCTCTCAGTGGGAACAGAGAAGGACAATTTTATTAAATTCCGATTCATCTGAACATTTTGGTAAGAAACTATGTTTTAAAAATAATTGAATAAATGTTGTGGTCTGCCCCTGACAATAGCTGCAGCATGGGAATACAGCTTGTCCTTCAGCCAAGCAACCAACCTGCTGCTTGGACTGTCGGCCCTTGCAGGATTGCAGAGGACCAGTCCCCTTTTCTGTCTTTGGCACAAGACATCGCTTGTTTGTATCGCTGCTATAGCATCAGTTCTCCAGAGGGATTTATTTCTACTTCTGCAGTGCACCCTCGTTACTTACCTCATAGCCCACTTAGTCTGTGTTTGAAACAATACGACATGAGTAGGACATGAATAGGAAACACTTATGTTTTGCTTGTTTGCTTTTGAAGATACTCTTCAAAGCCTAATATGGTACTACAAGTGCAAATATTTACTTTTCTTGTTTATTATTAGTATCCTTATGCTTGTAAACTCAGGCTGTTTGATGGAAGAAAATTGCAATCCCAGAGCATATCATACCTCTGTCTATTTTTAGTTTACTGCATTTTTTTTTTCTAAATTCCTAGATATTCCTGTTGCCAATTTGTAGCACTAAGAGATAACATGGACTGCTGTGGTGAGCTGTGATGGGTGGTTGCTTGTGTCACTGGGAACTTGGTGGTTTCATTTCAGATGGGAAATGGAGGTGGCTTTTTGCTCAGAATAGGATAGCTTGAATTTTTTTAAATTTTCTTATGAAACTGTAGATAGATGCAGCTGAAAGAGCTTAGTGTCTCCTCTCATCAGCAGCAAGCAGAAGCTGCCGAAGAAGAAAAACAGATCTCTTTTCATCCATCCTATTTATACCTGCAAAGGAAGGCACAGGGCCTGTGTGAGAGCATAGCCGCAAACAGTGCATGGAGGTACAGGCAAAATAGCTGAGCACGATGTTGTGAGCTTTAAAAAGAAAAACGCGTGCATGTAATCCATCACACTTCAATTTGTATGTGCTTTCAGAATACTTTGAATCATGTAGTCCGTGACATCTGCCAAAGGGGAGAGGAAAGACCATGTGCTATTTAATAATGCTATGACCATTTATTGTAAAGTTCTAGGTTGTTATTCTCATAAGTTATATTTTATATTTCTTTCACAGTCTTTTTTTTTAACTCTATAATTGGATGGTAGGGGATCTCACTGGTGAGGGATTTTCATGACACATTATCCAATGTTTGATATTTCAGCAGGGAGAGCAAGGAAAGGAGTGCTCTGATAGACTTCTAGATCTGAACTGCATCTTTTTATGGCAACTTCTTGAAGGGATTTCATCTTTTTTACTGCAGGAAAACATCTTCAAAAGTTTCCTGATTTACTATTCTTCCTTAAGAACAAAGGGAGAAATTTATAGAAGATCAAACAGATAAAAATAGACTGAAAAGACAGCAGATGCTGTTGATTTACTGAAGAATTCAGAACCTTACATTTGGTGACTATATTATTTGCTGATACCACAGTTTTGGTGTTAATAATCTATACCCAGGCCGTGCATATTATGAAGCCTTTTTGTTTTATCTCTGTTTTCTTGTGACAAGAACAAACAACTGGGGTTTGAATTGCTTGCTTTCCTTTTTGTATCATCAGAAACATTAATGATGTTGATATCTGAGGTTTGTTCTCGTGTCAGTTGATATGCTCAGTTGTCATAGATGTGTGCTGAGATGGGATGGGGCAATGTATGTGGTGCATCCAGCAGTGATTCCCTAAGCCTCAGCTAAGCCCAGTAGTGACCAAAGACAAGTTGCTTGCCCTAAAATTCAGTGGGCAGTTGTACAGATTTTCACATAATGTTTCCCTTCATCTGTGCAGGGCTCAGGACTCTTGGCAACCCGAATTATTACTTCATATCATTTGCTACCTGTGAAAGCTCAAATTAGCTAAATGCCGAAGTTAAATTCTGAATGGAAAACTGGCCCATCTTGATTTTCTTTACATTGATATTCTCATAATATTTTTCACAGCTGATAAGGCTGAGCAGGGCCAAATAAGCTTCTTCTCCTTTATCTCTTAATTCCTTTCATGAACTGCTTGAGTAGGTTAATAGAGTGTGGAAAAAAAAAAACCCTAGAGAGTGAGCAGATACTGCTTCTGCAACTCACTTTTTCCAGCAAAAAGGAATTGAGTTTGTTCATAAGAACAGATATTTCACTGGGTGTACAGTGTTCCATTTCCTTTATTCCTGTTCAAATCATTATTTCCCAATAGCTGTGTGTTTTTTGCTTTTCCTAACAATCTGTGACTAAAATGAATATATCCTTTATGTACCTGTCTCTTTCTAATGTGAATGCAGTTAATGCAGTATAAACCAAATATAACTCAGGATTTCAAGGTATTAGAGACTTTTAATGCATATGCCTTTTGTAAAGACAGTCTATCAAATGGAGGGAAGGAGGCTTGCTGGCTTCAGCTTGTACAAGTGAGCTTGGTGCTTATTAGGTGCTGGAGAATTTCACCATGTTCCCAGCCAGGGTGCTTGACAGTGTCAAGAAGCCAGGGTGCCAGAAGCCGAGACCAACTGTGGAAGTCATGATTGTATTTGTACTAACCTGAAATGTGAAGGAAATGAACAGGACTCCTTTCTGACTATAACAATAAGTATTATTTTTCCCCTCTGTTGCAGACCAACAGTGTAACCTAACCCTCAGCTTCTGAGGGGAAGTCTTCTCTTTTGCAGTTGAGGTGCTTGTCTGCCAGTGCTCATCCATTCAATCTAGAATCAACTGTCTTTCATTTAAGGCAATAGACAATCTAAAAGATTGGGCTGGTGAAGAATTAGATCCAATGAGCATGTTCTTGTCTGGTTATTTTCCCCTGTGCCACACGAATTTGATTTAGTTTGGTGTCAAATGAGAACCACATATTTAATCTGTGTTACTCCTGCCTTTTGTAATGCCTTCATCTTCCTCTTCTATTTCTTTGGTGATGCTTAGAAAAGACATTTCTTCTACTCTCTACTTAATGTAGGAAATTATTTGTAGAAATTATTTTGCGATGTTAACAGGGCACTGAAGTCTATTAGGCTGAGTTAGTCTCTTTGTCCATCAACCCCAAGCAAGCAGAGCAAGCAGAAAAAACTGGTCCTCACTGGTCCTAAATTACCTGCAGTACCTCCTTACTTGAAGATATGAGAGTTATTTCATCTACTGTTCTTTATTGAGAAAGTGCAATTTGTCATCTTCTCCCTCTGACCTTGGTAACATCTTTCCTCCTGGGAAGAAGGGAAAAGTATAAAGTATCTCAACATAATTGTCGTCTTTTTTTCTGCCCTCTTTGTAGCTGATACACTAATATGTTGACCCCATATTATATCTGAATTTAACTCCCAGCCAGATAGAATCACTCATTTTTTCAAAACCAACTCACACATTGCATGTTATGCAGTCTCAGATTTACATCCCTGAGAAGGTTAGGCATACCATACTTCTTGTTTAATGTGTTAATTGTCTCTACATTTTATTTCACTTTTTAAATAAATTGGGAACTACTCTGACAAAGTAGCTGTGATGCTCTAATGATTTGTACTGGAGAAAGCAGCTCTGTCATTTCCTCTTGCTAAAGCGTATTTTACCTCTGCGGTAGTATTAATTCATACTGTCTAGTAGCTGTGGGTTAGCTTCGTAGGGAAATTGCAAGTAAATAAAAATAGAGCATATTGGGTTAGGTACTGAGCATCATTATTAAGCTGTGAGTCAACTTGTCACATCTGTGAGATTTTTTTTCTGGTACTGGCTTTCTCTCATTCCACTCACCTGCAGTTTTGAGGAAGTGCTGTTTAACGCTCCGTTGGCCAGGTAAGACATTTGTACAGCTCTCCAACTAGTCAAGGTAATGGGTGCCTTTCCAATTCAGTCAGCCAGAGGACACATGCTCACTAAAATTCACTGCTTTCTGCTCAGTCAGGGGGAAGCCAGCTTTACACAGCCAGCTGTTTGGGCTGCTCCTGAACGCACAGAAAAGTGTTCTTTAAAATTGTTTGCCTCCATACTGTAGCTGCATGCTCTATTTATGTTCTTTTATCTCCACTTAGCTCCATATGATCAAATATATCCAGGATGCATCTTTCATACACCAACAGATAAAGGATTCATCAGAGCATAAAGAAATGTCCTAGCTACATCTTGTTAAAAAGCATGTTTGTGCGTGCACGCATCTGTTATGTAACTGCCCTCAATGTGCAGCTCAGCTACACTCTGCTATCTTGTGGGGCATCACTGGAGAAGCACACATGAGCCTACTGGAAGGGGAAGTATTTGGTCAGGTAGATGAAATGAGTGATGGAACCGTGATACGAAGCTGCTTAAAAGTCAGAGTTTGCTGATAGAAATAAATGACATGGGCATCTTGTTGTTTATGAATGAGACCTCCAAATGAAATGCTGTTTGTTTTTTTTTTTTTTAAATCTTCATAGCTCCTAACTGACAAATGAAGTTTTGATGTATTCGTTCCTTTTGTTATATGTTCAGAAACAGGCACAGATGGAGAAAATTGCTAGGGTTTAAAAAGTAAGACTGATGATGTTTGGGTCTTGTACAAAAACTGACAAATGGGGCACAATCATGATGTCTTGTTATAATTCCAAGCACGACTTAAGCATTTCTCTTTATAATGTGAAAATAATGGCCTAACATCACCTTTCAAATGTGGAGAAACTCAGCTTTCACTTCCTTTAATATTGCCAGATAAATAAAGTCATGTTATCCCTCAGCAAAGCTGACATAATTCATTCTGTGAGCAAACTAATTGTAGAGTTCCTGAAAGACATGTAAATTTATTTTCATGTTTTGTTTTCTTCTTCCACAGAATGATATCACACCATTACATGTTGCATCGAAGAGGGGAAATGCAAATATGGTCAAACTCCTACTTGATCGAGGAGCTAAAATTGATGCCAAAACAAGGGTAAGCTTCAGTGTGAATACTGCAAGTGACTGTATGGAGTTCTTGCTTTTGACCTGAAAGCTGCTGTACAAACTAAATCATTCGTCTTTCTGGCAGGCTACCATAACTGTACTGCATTTCTTCCTTATAAAATGATTGCAGTAGGATGCTAACGATTTACGTCTCTTAAAACAATGTGAAACACCTGAATGGCAAAGTTCAGAACAAACTATTTTCTGTGTCCTTAGAGAACTAAGTTAAATGATGTTTTGAATTAGCTGGGGTAGAAATGGCTACACAGGAAAATACTGAAACGTGAGAATTCAATTCAGATCTTTCAGAACCTGAATATTAAAAGAATAACCTTTAGCTGCAGTATGTTTGCCTTTCTTCATCCACAGGGCTATGTTACAGAGTGTAGCACTGGTGGTGAATCTCACCACCTCTTGCAGAGCTGTGTGACAGTTCAGCTTCTGCCTGACTTGGTGCTTAACTACTGGCTTGGATTTAGGAGTAAATGTGCCAGGTGTAGTGATGGTTTTCATCCAGATGGTGCCTGACTTGAGTTGTTGAGTGTCCTTAGAAGGTCAGTGCAGACACTTACATCTAATTGTTGTAGTTAAAACCCAATCAAACCAGTTTAGGACTGTTTTATTTACTTACGCAGTGGTCAAAAGAAATGTTCAGAAGTTGTGAAGTAAACCTTAGAACTAGGACTGCGGGCTGTCACAGCAGTCTTTGCAACATGCTCCTGTACATGTGGGGCAGTCTTCGTGGTGTTGTGACTGTACCTTTGGAACAATTGTAGTTTCCTTGAAATGTTAGCTTGACGTGTATCTGTCTTTCATTTTTAGTTTTTCTGTATAATTTTCACCAGAAAAAAAAAATCTTGAACAGATCAAGAATATAAACTAAGAATATCTTTTATGCACTTACTGCTGTATGCACAGATTTCCGTTTGGTTTTCTAGGCTTTCAGCAGTGTCTGAGATTTCCTGCAGTCTTTGTTGAGAGACGTTCTTATTTTTTATTTTTGTGACAAATTCAAAAACTGGGTCAGCTCCTTTTTCTCTTCACTCTATTCACACTTTTTTTTCCAGTTGTTTTTCTGCTTTACCTTTAGAAGCAATTCATGATTTCTTTGTAAGATGCATCTATTTTTTTGTAATTGGGGGGTATGGAAGGGATAACTTGTACGCAGTGGGTGGTTCTTGCTCTTGACGTTAGCGAGAAACACTGTCTCAAGAGGGTTTAAAGAACAGCCTGCATAAAATCTTTGGTCCTATGCACAGTGTGCACTAGCTTGTATGGAATTGAGTCTTAACAGACTGCCATACAGATCCATTCTCTTGTCAGGATGTGGTACCCCACATCTATAACAACTGTTATTTTCTTTTCTTGTTACTTCCCTTTGCTTTCTACCTTTGTATATCAAAATGACAGCATAGCTAGCACTTGATCACAGAATTTGCCTTTTTTTTCCTCTGCTGCTGGCTCTGTGTCTCACCCTTGATTTTTCTGCTGTGATAGTTCCTTAGAAGCACTTTTCTCCCTCAGGGTGGTATTGGCTCCTGGGTTTGCCTTGTGTGGGGGATGTGACATGATATTCTTTCTGAGTAACCTCCTCTTCTCTTGCTCTCTCTCTTGCCCTCCATTGTTTAAAAAAGCAGTCAGACTGGAGGCATGTTTCAAACACTTTTAACGTCAGCCATTCCATGATTCTGATTTCTTTCTTCTGGATTGAAATACCAGTCTCCTACCTGCCACACTGGGTGCTGCTGGGATTAGAGGGCAAGGGTGCATATCCTGTGTAGGGGGAGCCCATTTTGATGATGTGACAGATGTGCATTTGGGAACACGGGAAGGAATTCTTTGTTTCCTCTCTACAAGCATTTATTTGGCTATTGCAGCCAGAAAGTTGGGGACCACTATTTTAAATAGTTGAAGTCTGACTTGTTCTTTTCCCGTAGTTACAAAAACATGATCTGTTACATTTTCTGTGTCACAGACCCCAGGGTCAGACATTAGGATAATTTATGTAACTAAAAATATGGGCTGTGATGGAAACAGGATCTAGGAAGAGGACGGAAGCATTAACACCTCTGTAGTCTGGCAGAGCTTCACAGTGAGGGAAGAGTGCAGTTCTGGAAGATCTTGTGGCTTGGTGGTTTTTGTTGTTATTTTGTTCTGTTTTTGTTCCTTTCCTTTTCTGGTTTCACCTAGAGAATTCTCCAAATACTTCTCCCATATATCAAAAGGGATTTGTGTAACTTCTCCTACTTGTGCCATATGTATGTTGCACTTCTCTGGCATCGCCAGAGGCATCATTTTCTGCTAGTTAGTGATAACTTGGAAGCTTTCCTCCCAGCAGCACCGACACATCCTGGCAAGGGTTTACCAGCCCCTGGTCTAGGCAGTAAGGGGTTCTACCAGGGAGATCTGAAAAGGGAAGAGAATCATTGGAATAGATCAGAAAGGATTTACAAGTCAGTAGGAGAAGCAGGAGAAGGCTGAGAGCAACGCAATACTAGAGTAGAAAATAACTCTATTTCAGCAGAGACTGCATGACTTGTTCAATAATTATGATTAATTGCTGTGAGCCATTATACTACATGTTCCTATTAAAGTTCTCTTGCTGTTCCTACCTGACCCAGTGTTTTTTTTCCCAAGGCAGAATAATTGAGGTGTGTCAGTTTTGCAGACATTTCACTTTTTTTCTTGAGTGCTCTCCTTTTTTTTTAATGTCTCAGGCTGAGAATGGTCTTACGAAAATACAGGATGACAAAAGCTGCAGTCATATCCCTTTATAGCAGTATGACCACTACTATGCATACTGAAAGGCAACAAGCTGCCAAGGCTGTATTTTCTAACTGTCAAATCACGTCCATCAGCGGGATGCTCAGTTTGAGCCCAGCCTCCAAGTGCTCTGCGAGAGGCAGGGGCAGGTGCTGGCAGAGCATGCAACTTTACACAGGAATGGGATTTGCACATAAAAAATAAGTGAGGCTTCTCTTTTATAAGTTTACACATGTTTATAAAGCTTTATAAATGTAGGTGTGACCTCTTCTTTAAGTGAAGCAGAGTTCTGTAGCTTTTTTGTTTTGTTTTGTTTTGCTTTGATTAAAATCATTTTTTTCTTGGATACTATTTAATGCAAATGTTGATTATGGAGCACAAAAGGCCTCCTTAAAGGTGAACTACAACGTTACTGTACCCATATGAAAGGACAAGGTACCTGAAAAGAGCTTGTTTCCCTTGCTCAGAGGCAGGAATTCCCAGCCCTTTTGCTTCTCCTTATCAGATCTGTAACTGACCTTTACAGGAGTTTGCAGAAGATACCATCCTGTGATGCTGAAAAAATGCCAACAAGGCTGGGATCTTAAATGGGACAAATTTAGCTATTCAGCTGTCATTTTGTGATGTACCCACAGTCCATTCTCTGGAATTGGTAGTGGAAATGTTCTCCATGTAGAGTTGGCTTTTATTTTTCACAGACATACCCATTTTGTAGATAAATTCACATAAAGTCTTTCTTGAGCATTAAATTAAGTTGGGGTAATGAATTGTTTTCCTTAGTCATTTCTCTGAGCACTCATGTTTTCTGCTGGCAGATGGTCCTGGAGACTGCAGTTCTGAGGTACTGCACAAAAGGTTAACGTGAAGGACTAAGTCCTTATCCTGTTAAAATTATTGTAGAAGACATCCATGGCCTCAAGGTTTCACTGTATTCATTAGGAATAGGATTTGATGAGCACCACAAACATTGTTGCTCACTTTTGAACTGCAGTTAAGAGTTCAGATAATGTATGAGCATATGAGGTTATTTCAAAAAATGATCTTGCATTCATTTTGTGACTCAGCCATCTTTTTTTCTTTAGTTCACACTTACTTTCTCCTGTTTATTTTTATCAGTTGCTTCTCTCCCAGCTGTCCTTTTTATGTGTGTGTGTGTGTGTGTGTGTGTGTGTGTGTGTAATGTCTAGCAGCTGGCACTTGGGGTTTTGTACTTAATTCTTTAGTGTACTCCTCAGTAACTAGCCATGCAAAGCCCTAACCGTGCCCTGTTTTTGTCTGCCCTTGGCAGCTTTTTTTAACTCTGGTCTTTAACTAACTTTCAAGCAAAGACCTGTTAATGCCTGATGTAACATGTTTACTGAATGTTGCCCTAATTATTTTTTCTCTATCTTCCAGAAAAACTTTAAAAATAGTGTAATTAGGCTGATCAAATTAGCTTGATTTTCTTTGGCTGCCTAATACTGCATTATGCCAAAGTGAATTTGTCTGAAGCAGGCACTGAGCACAATTTAGCTTGGATTAACAGTAAGTCTGTAATCTTCATTTTACTGATTTTATAGCTAAACAACAGGCTAGCACTCATATCTGTATGAGAACATGTGGGATATTCTCTTTTTAAGATGCATCAGATCATACATAAGCTGCTCCAGAAAAGCCTCCTGCTTTAAGATTAAAAATAATGAGAAGAATAGCACTGACTTGGCAGCATATTTTGCATGTGTAAGCAGAGCAAAGCTCATTTCTTACCCTGCTGCACTGGTGACTCTTTGTAGTAGCATTGATGAAGAGTTTGTGTGATTTTAGGGTGTGTAGAGGCCATGCTGGGCAGAAGCACCTGCTAAGAAGTTCACCATGCTGGAATAGGGATGATAAATCCTAGAGACAGCAGTAATTTGTGCAGTGCTTATGTGAAGGAAGCCTGTATCTGAACAGAATCCCTCCTATTTTCCTCCTGGCTTCTGCTGGAGATGCTATTGGGCTCTCTGGAGGAATAGATAATACAAATGATATGATTTGTTATGTCAGTATATACTTAGACTGTCTTTAATCTGCAGATTATTGTCATAATCGTTTGTAATGTTTTTTTCAGAGCCATTGCAGACTATCATATTAAGGAAAGATAGCTTCTTAACTCATGCGGTGCATTTTATGCTTTGTGTAGTGGAGTCTGTATCACCATGAGTAAGCAACTAGAAAATCTCCTGACAAAATCAGTAGTCTTGCTGACTTCAGAGTAGTGTCTTCTAATCTCAGATTTTTTGTAAATATATATGTAAATGTTGTGTGTTGTACATCATTCTGTGACCTGTTTCAGATCGACTCTGAATTTCTTTACTTCTTCTTAGGGCCATATAGCAATTTACTATTCTGGGTGAATAGTTGGTTCATTTTCGAGTACCAAAAACCCCTTGCAGCTGAGTGAGCTGTCTCAAAGCATATTTGCCTTTTCTCATGGGAGCCCTGACATTCTCATAAGAACAGCTTCAGATACGGTGTCCCAACAAGAACCTACATTGCATTGCAGTGTTGTGTCATGCCGTGTGATATATCTGCTGTTGGGACTGCTGTATGATTGGCCAGGTGTGACTGACTGCCTGCCACCTCCTGTGCTGCCGGAGCCTTGTCAGCTGCAGGAAGCAGCTGTGGGCCCAGCACAACCACACTGTTGTGGCTCTGTGCTCTGGGGAGCACTGGTGTAATTCGGGATGCTCTATTCAGCTTACGGAGGTGAGCAAATGCATCTTATTCTGTGTGATCTTGGTATAATCTGAGAAGTGAGCTGAAGAGTGTTTGTCTTGCATGAATAAATAGCTCCTGAATTGCATTCAAGTTAAGTCTTATCCAAAAGTCTTTCCTTTAGCTGCATCAGAATTGTATGTCTTAAGTAATAGAAAGTGTACAGTTAGAGCCACATTAGGTTTAAACGAGAACAGCAGAAAAATTAAATCAGAAGAATTTCTGCTGCTGAATTTCAAAAGCTTCTTAGGAGAGAGCAAAAAGTAGAAGCAGGAGAAGGGCATAAGACTCTCAAAATCAGTACCTCCATCCCTCCAGCTGCCTTCTATACTTCATTAGCCTTAAACTAATAACGGAACATTATTATATATATGGGGAAAATACATAGAATAAGGTAATTTAGGAGAATCTTCTATCATACAGAGTGTGTGTAAATTGACAAGCACAGGATACGTGATAAGAAATTAGATAATCCTTTATATAAAAATGTTGTAATATACTTTAGGCGATATGAAGTATTTTTAAGAGTGGTGAAAGACACTGGAGAGGGGCCCCTTCCTTTATGATCTGCGCTTGAAAAATTAGAAAATGCTTACCTTGCTTCCTTGTTAGTTATAAGGGCTTCTCCTTTGACATATTTGGTGAAAATTCAATGTAGTTGTTGTATAACAATAATCTTCTGCAAATTTGGCTTGCTTGTAACAAGTGAAAGATTTGCTTTTACTAATTCGAAAAACATACATTTTTCTTCCTAATTTTTCTCAAAGCCGTGGCATTACTATTTGCAATAACCATTATGACATATGGTATTGAAAAACTCCATGTGACTTTACTCACAGTTACTCGAGGCATGTGTGCTGTGTTTCATCATAGCACCCATTATGGAAAACAGAGTACTTGAACATTTTAAACAGGATACAAGTCAAGGAACAATCAAATTAACTTGGAATAATTCTGATGTTAAAAAAGTGTCTTTGTCTTAATTGAGGAACGTATTTCTAGCATGGTGAAAACTATTAGTAAGAAAACTATTTTGAAAGAAGTACTGAGAATAGGCTGTGACCCTGGACCAGACATTCAGCTGGAAGTTGCACAGTTATGGTTTACGCTACAAGAAACAAGAATTAATCCAGCATACTTTTACCACCCAGGGTTAAGATGGTTTTCTCATCTGCTGTACACCTGTCAAAATCAATGTAATAAAATCAAACTCAATAAGAAAGATTTTTTTTTTTAAATATAAGTAATATCCATTCGCTTTGATGCATACTGACTGACCCAGTTTTCTTGAAGACGTGCAGTCAAGAAGTGCCTGATGTACAATCTTTCTTAATGCCTGTAAAGTAGAAGAGCCCATTGCACCAATTTGATACAACTATTTACATATTTAGAAAATGGAGCCAAAATGTACTCTGTACATTTAAATAAATGGATTCAACTCTTCAGATGCGCAGGATCAGCACCCAGCAGAAAATAGTTTCTTAAGACATTGCAGTTTTTTAATAAAAGTGCAAAAAAAACCCCCAAAAAACAAAAAAAAACAAAAAACAAACAAACAAAAAACAACAAACAAACAAAAAAAAAGAAAACCACCAAACTTTACTGTGTCTGAGTGTAATAGATAATATTGCTTGTGTCCCCCAGGATGGGTTGACCCCCCTCCACTGTGGAGCAAGAAGCGGCCATGAACAAGTTGTAGAAATGCTGCTGGATCGTGGTGCTCCTATTCTTTCCAAAACAAAGGTAACTGATACTGTTCTATTTTCTGCAGGGATAGTCCTTGTACTTTTTTGAAGCTGTAATTCTGCATGATACTGTATTTAAGAGCTTGATAATAACTTCCCTGTTTCATAGCTATTTAAAGAACCTGTGTGGGAGCTCTCCAAAGTGGATGCCATATGTAGCACACGTCTGCATATCTAAAATATGTTAAATCAAGATGCACAAGAAAAGGTTTTTCTGCCGACCGACAAGGCATTTATGGTAATTAATCCCAACACTTAGAATAACAGTAGCTAGAAAATGTCTGTATCCTGGAATAAATACATGGTGATTACAGTATATTTTCAGCTTGCACTGAATTACTCTCAGGCTCTAGCCTGAGATAACGGATATAAATAGAGTAACATCTTTTTGCAGGTAACAGCTTATATTTCACTGGGAACTGGAGTGATTACCAGTTTTTTCACTCTGTTTCTCTCTGCAGTTTGTCACACAGTTCTTCATGGGAATTTCACATCACCTGCACTAAAATGTGTGCAGATTGCTCTAGATTCATGGGTTAGCATTAAAGCACAAGATCTCTTCTTCTGGTGATCTGTGCTGCAGCTATTGCTGGTTTTAAATCTCAATGCAGTAGTCTTGTTTGTAGCACAATACATTCCATGACTTTACCCTCCAAAGACTGACAGTTGAATTGTGCAGTTTTTTGATGTTCTTTCCCAAGATATGTTCCTCCACTTTTTGGCTCTCAAGTCTGTAAGCAACATGTCATGTTTCCTTCTGTTATTTCTCCTCTCTTCTGTCATTCTGCCCTATTCTTTCTCAGTGTCCTTCTATATTCTGCTTTTCTCCTCCCTCTTCTTTTTTTTTTTTTTTTTTTTTCCTTTTTTTTTCTCCTTCTCTGGACTATATTTAGCTTTCTGTTTGGAGAGGCTGTGACACCAGCTTGGTTCTGCTCAGTGAGTCACTGGCAACTGCTGTCATGGTTAATCTGACAGACAGGATCCACCCGTCCTCTGCATGCTGAGTTTCCATTGGGCTCCAGGAACCCAGACTTAGAATCTCCTCAAGCAGAAGGAGGAGCAAATTGCTTTCCAGGGCATATCCCCTTGTTTCAGCCACACTGAGTCTAGAGCTTGTACTCCAGGCAGTCAGAATTTTCCACGCTCGCTGGTAGCTCAGTTAATTGACGGAGGAAGCATAAAGCCCATTTCCTTGGTTTTCGCTGTCTTAAATAAAACCTACTCTTATGGAACTATGTTTCTTTGCCAAACGGATTTTGCATGCCAGGAGTTATCCTGAAGCTTAACCTGCCGTGTGGGGTCTGTGGGCTTTGAATTTGTTCTTCCTCTGAGGAGATTCACACTGTGTGGCCCATAGTTCATTAGCTGAAATCAGACAGGTGAGAAGATAGGTTGGTTGGTGGGTTTGAAATAGCACAGTGCTGGAAGACGCGCTTTGGACATTGAACTGCAGAAGCTTGTTTGGACACCTGCAGCAAAATGAGAGCTCCTCACTGGAGAAGGGAAAACTATATTACATATTAAAAATGAGCAGAAGAAAGTGCGGAGCTTCCTGAACTGTTCTCTGATGTGTAAATTCTGCTGTTTTCAGAAAGTGATCTAAGAAGTTTCTACCTCTGAATGACATTAATGAAGCCATTCATTTGGCACTAAACTATGGTACAGTCATCTTGTAAAACTCACTATTCCATTCTCTTCAAATAGAACACATCTTGGAAAGAATTGGAGCGTCTCAAAGTTTTCTCCTACCAAATGAAATTATTTAGGGGGAATAACTAGACTGCATTTTGATCACTTTTTCCTATTAAGAGATTATTAGGATAGCAAAGGTCCTTTTTCACACTGGAATAACCTCAGATTTATTTTCTGGGCAGGTAGTGACCTACTAATTTATCCTGAGTTTTCCAAGAGCAAAAGGAACCTGAATTGTAGCCCTGAGTATGCCCTGATTTGCTATGTGAGATATACCATTCCTCTGATTAAAGTACTTTAGCACAGCTACAAATTATGCTGTGTATCACTGATATGCTTCTTTGCCCACTCAGGCATTTGACACTCTATTTAATCTCTCTAGTCCTGTTCTGATTTTTTCTTTTATTTATTTATTTATTTATTAAGATACCATTTGGCCATTGATCTCTTTCATTCCTATTAAACTTCATCTTTAAATATTTTCTTGATAATCTGCATAAAAGCAACATGTATCTATTATATAGTGGCTCCATCTCAGAGTACCAAATCACCTTTTACAAACTATCTCACAGCACGGATGTGATGCAGGATAAAGGTGTTATACGTAATGTTTTTATTTTATAAATGGGAAGACAAAGACATTCAAAGTTTAAACTGCAACAGAATTATAAGCACATATTTTATGTCATAACAGAAGACAACAATCATTTGTTTTTATTGATGCCTTTAACATCCAGTCTTGTCTCTTGCTCTTTTGTATGAAGTGTATTTTCTCATCCACAACAGATTTTTTTATGAAGCATCTTGTTTGTTTTCCTAAATGAAAGTACAGCAGCTCTGCTTTTTCCCTTCTTTTTCATCACTTTCAGCCTTCTCCTTACAAGTCTTTCCTATGAAGGAGTTTCATCCCACCTACTCAATTTCTTAGTCCATTATTATGTGAGGTTTACTGGCTCTAGAATGAATGACACTTTTTACCTGGAGAGTTTTTTCTTTTAACAGTAAAACAGAACACCATATAAACTTCCATGATTTTTTGCTAACGCCTAAAAAGCCCTCACCAGGGAGGGCTTGGTGACTGTAGGAAATTAATGTGATTTTTGTTTTTCCCTTATTATCTTATTTAATTACATTTAAATTGCAATGCTAGTATCTAGCTTTCATGTATATAATTGTTGTAGTAACCTTTGGGAATAAGAAAGAGGTTTGTCCTAGCCAACATAAATCATGCCCATGAGATAATCTTACTCAAAAGATAGAACAGTGCCCAAGAATCTCTGCTTTTCAGCACTGAACAAAACTGCTTTCAAATTAGGACAGCATTGGCCTGTTCATTTTCACTAACCTTCTCCCGTGTCACTTTAAAAAAAATATTTCACTGTGTATTCCCACTTTTATTTTGAAAGTTTGTTACTTACTGTTATGATATTGCCAGGGGAGGGGAGGGGAAAGAGCTCTTGTGTTTCAGAAAGCCTGAGATCTCAGCAGTTTTTACACTGCAGCTTTGCCTTTGCTAACTGTGGTCACATGAGGGCACTGCATCTGAGAGCAAGAGTTTTATTTTCTACGTGATAGCAAACAGTGTACTGTCAGTCACTTATAGATTACGTAGTGTTATGTGCTGCTTCCTGAACTTGAATCTAATTTTGGCATCAGAAGGACTGAGTAAAAAAGTATACAAATGGGAATTCTGGGAATTATTTCTTGTGTTTAATGTCTTTTACTCTGGAACAGTAAAATAGGCTTCAGCTTGTTGATTAGCTGCCATAAGCAGTGCAAGCAGCAAATCTGAATGGAGATTTAGTTCCCAAATATGAATCTTTCAGGCATTTCCCTGATTAAATAGAGCCTTATCAACTTCTGGTAGGTCACATCATGGTGGTCACATTCAGATTTTTATTTTTTTTTTTTTGCTGTTGTAAAAAAGTTTTGTTGTGCTGTTGTAAAAAATGAAGAATGGTCTCCACAGATGTGTAAGGTATGTGTACAACCAAATTCAGGGATACGCTAGGGGACGGATGAGGGAAGGTTATAGTGATCAGTGAGTGATGCTCTGCTCCTGCCTGGCATTTACAGGCTGCATTACAACAAGAAGTTTAATGCAGGTTTTTAAAACAGCAGATGTGCTGGTTAGGGTATTAAAAGTCACTAAGCACTGTTCTTCACATAGCTTGGTTAACTCTAGCAACTTACCTGAGCTATGTTAGCTGAAATAAGCTAAGCTTTCATAGCATTGCTGTTACACCTACTTTTTAAAGTGGAGCTGTCTATATACTCTCGCCAGATACGCTTCAAATTCCGCATGGCTTTTATCAGACTAAGACCTTCACTGTTACATTCAATGTGCCCAGTTGATTTTGGGTTCTGTATGGGCATGTGAAATCTTTCATACAACTCACTCTGTAAGGACAAGATTAGAGTTTTGATTCTCTGAGCATTCTGTAACCCATCAGCACTGGGTCTTTTTGTTTGCAGAATGGTTTGTCTCCATTGCACATGGCAACACAAGGAGATCATCTAAACTGTGTTCAGCTCCTGATTCAGCACAACGTGCCTGTGGATGATGTCACTAATGACTATTTGACTGCGCTGCATGTTGCCGCCCACTGTGGCCACTACAAAGTTGCCAAGGTTCTCTTGGACAAGAAAGCTAATCCTAATGCCAAAGCACTGGTGAGTACACAGCAGGTTACTATTCACAGCTAAACATTCTTCCAAAGTTGCTGTGAGATTTATTTGAGATTTATTTTCTGCCTGCTGATGGTTGACAGCAAGGCTGCGTTGTATTACTACAGCACAAGAGAGGATGCTTGAGGTTCAAAGTATTAGTAATGTGTTTCGTGCAATCAGAGCAGACTTTTGCTTACGGATGGTCAACAGTCATTTATCTATTTTTAGTGTAACTGGAGCACTTTTGCCTTCTGGTAGCTTGTTGCAATTCTGAATAGATTAAGCAGCTGCAGATGTAACTGCTGTAGTTTTTAGTACAGAGAGAATTCTCATTTTCTGTATGTTCATAAAGAAAATAAGCACTTTCAACCTTTAAAATTAGGGGAATTTTTATTTGCTCTCAAAGATGTGAAATGGTAAAAAATAAGAATGAGTTGCCTAAGCAATATTTGTGGTATTTTGTAATTATAGCAATGGAGCCACAAGCATTTTTACTTCAAAACCACTTCAGCACTAAAACCTGGTAGTATAATTAAACTGCATGCAAACTGAATTCCTTATTTTTTTTAAAATATATACTTGCAGCCTACTGTCTTTCAAATGTTTTGTTGTTTTTTTTTAATGGGTCTTCAAAAACTGTTCCAAAAATTTTTACTTCTGAAGTTAATCCCTGTAATGTTATATGAGCTCCTGAAATCCTCAAAAGCTGGTGGGATTGACTATCTTGAGAACAGCACAGGCTCCAAAGATTTGCTCATTTCAGCTTCTCTGTTTACTATGTCAGATGAATCTGTCCTTGATGTATTTGGTCAACCTATTATGATATATAAGTTTTGCTCTATATAACAGGCAAGTGGGAAAGATTGTGGTGCTGTAATATTTATTTTAGCATCATATAATAATCAAAGCATCATCAGTTTTAATTTTTCAGAGTTGCTGGCAGTGGCCTTTATTAATCTTGTAACCTAGCCACAGGTTTCTATTTCCTTCTATTCTGTCCTCATCTCCACTCAGGATGATTAACTAGATGGGTGCCATATAGTGCAGCATGTGAAATTGAGGCTTACCCTTCCCTGAAACACATCTGAGTTTACCCTGGGTGTTGTCCACTACTAAGGAGCAGATTTGAGAGCTACTCACACTTAACTGGAACAGACAATTGCACTGACCTCACGTTACAAAGGCTTATGATAGTTGATATGATATGATGTTGATGTTGGTCTTGGATGCTCTGCACAGCTTATTTTCCTGTTCTACTTGTTCTGCTATATCACTTTGCACCAAATAAGATGATTATTTAAAATGTTCCCATTGCTATGTATGCAGTTCATTTAATGGAAGAGACAAAAAATTGTAATTGTGATAAAGTGTAGTAAAGTGGCATGTAATGAATGAAAGAAGAAATGATAGTAAGGTAGTTTAGAAAAAGATCTAAATGCCAAAGCTTGTAAAGTTTGTATACTTTTTCATCAGCAGTTCTGACAAGTCTCAAATAAAACAAGAGGGATGAAGAGTGAGCACAAAGAAATGAACATTTTAAAAGTTTTATGTGAATGAGAATTGAATTTATTTTTTTTTTAATTAGAATGGGCAATATATGTCATAAAGAAAAGTGGCTGTATAAGTTAGGTCGCTTTCTTTCCTCTTTAGAAGATTTCTCTCTCTTTTACACAAACAGTTCAGTGAAGCCAAAACAAACCTGGAAAGAGTTTTGTTATCACAGAGGAATGCTTTGTGTTACTTCCATACCCAGGTTTGCCTTTTAATATGTACAAAGTATCAAAAAAATGTGTTCTTTCTCATTTACAGAATGGTTTCACACCTCTGCACATTGCATGCAAGAAGAACAGGATAAAAGTGATGGAACTTCTTCTGAAGCATGGTGCATCAATCCAAGCTGTAACTGAGGTGAGAAGTGGTCTTTTCACTTTTGTTTGTGTTTCTTTCCTAAAAAATTCATTGCATCTGTATTGATTAATATTTGAGTATTTCTGAAGATCATGTGTCACTCAAGTCAGCGATGATTTTCAGTTAGATAATAAAAGATCATAAAATTGGATAATCAGCTGCTCTAATGGATCATAATACCCAAAGAATTGGTTCACTTTGGGAAGACAGTGGGAATAACAAGTGACACATAACTGGTAAAATTTTAAGGATGATCATTTCTGTCTATTTCTGTCTGTAATTAAATGTGTAGATGACATTCACACTGCTAAGGAGATCGGGGTGAAGACTGCTTCCTTCAAGGCTTAATTCTGAAGGTGGTTTAATTCACAGACCTTGGTTTGACTTTCCACACAGAAATGTCATTTGGCCACCATCGCAGGTCATCTCAAATCAGTTAGACAGCAATCAATACACTACTATTTCAGTCAGCACGAGATGATCGATGTGCAGTTATTGGCACAATTTAGAAATTAATAGGAACCTATGAGAAAATTTGGCTTTTTTGTATATGTATGCTCTACTAACTTAGGAACAAAGGTCACATATATGAATGTGGGACCATCGTGGAAGAAGGCAGGTTAGAAAATGATAAAAAAAATCCCATTGATTAAAAAAGTTACAAACAGGAGCAGCTCATCTCCCCAGAATGGAATTTCATTTGATTTATGGCTTGTATTTCAATTATTCAGTAGCAAGTCACACAGTTCCTTTCCTGGCTTTCTTGAGAAAGAACTGGGCCTTGCTGCAGCTCACAAAACTCTAGACTAGTTCTTAAAACCACAAGATTTGTGGATGAAGCTTGCAGAGTGTAGCTTGAAGTCATGTTTGTAGAGGAGTGAGAGGCACAAAGAGAACCTTCACAAAAAAGGCATCATGTCTGTCCTCCATCTTAATCAGTCCCTGTGGAAATAAAACATTTCTCTGTTCATTTTTAATCATTTTAAGTACAAAGAATTAAAAAAAAAAAGAAAAAAAGAAAAAAAAGAAAGATAACAGTAGTACATTACTATGTGAGTCAACCAGCTGAACCATCAGATTGGTACTCTCCTCTGAACTGCTTATGCAGACAAATTTTCTGAAAGCAAGAGCTCTTCCTTAATCTCCTGTCACTGCACATGATCTCATGGCTCTGCATTTGTTGAGACTCATTACGGTCCTGTACTGAGGGGCTCTGCCTGCCTTCCTGCTTCTTCCACTGTGTGTAGCACTGTAACAAGCTTTAAGGCTGAATTCAGAGCTGTGATATTTAGCATCCATATGTTACCAAATACATTGATTAATAAACTGATTATTGAAGGAAATGCTTTTTATCTTTTTCCATGGCAAATTCTGTTTTCCAGGTAGATTCCATGTTTTCATTTGCACGTTTCATTTTCAGTTGTAGGCTTGAATCTCTGCAATATGAGTTAGTGTTTATGGTCAAATATGACATAAGTGCTTTGCATTTCTTACGCTCTACTATTTTAAAAGTATTTACTAAGTTAAGTGAATCAGGAAAAAGAAATAACCAGTTATTCTGCCTCCCTGCTTGTGTTTGCTGTCCTGCATCAGAAAGGAACAAAAGTGTGTTTTCCTCGCCTTTATCTTCTTGAGGACTTCTGTACATCAGTGAGGAAGTTGCATACTCAGGGCATATCCAAAGATCAGTTAAGGTTTCTCCTTGTCTTGATAGCAAAACTTCCCTTTGCAGCTCCTGGCAGGCTGTTGCCACAGTTGTGCAGAAGCAGCTGTGAAGAGGCTTTAGGGTAATTCTACTCCAAGAATTATTGACTGTTGATTGGACTTTTGAGTCATAATCCCTGATGTCATATCCTGCTAGATGACCTTCCATCAATCCAGTTGGTTCTTTAAACTTGTATTACTGCCCTTCCACAAGATATTCAAAATGATGGTGCTGCAAGGTGCTGAGGGAAGGGGGATTTCTTTTCAGTGTGTGTTGTATGTCTGTGCCTCTCTTGCTGTATGCTGTGGTTTTGAATTCAATTTCTCCTGAAGAAACAGTAGAAATTAAGAAATTAAGCACAGAGAACAGTGAGCTTTTTTTTTCCCGCTAAGATCTCAACTGGATTTAATGGGGACAAGGGACGCATCATCTTTTTTGCATTAGCTGTATTTTGTAGAAAGTCTTATCTTTGTACTGAATTCCTGCAGAATTTTTGCTTGCTCATGAGTCATGCTCATCTATGTTTTGAAATCTGTGTTCTTTAAAGATGTGTATATTTTTTTAGAAGCACAAGCACTTAGGCTTACCTATTTTGAAATAATTTGCTTTTCCCATAGCAATTTTGTAAAGAAGTGTGGTAATGTATGTTTGACGTTGGTTTTCCTTTCAGTCGGGCCTAACTCCAATCCATGTTGCTGCCTTCATGGGACATGCAAATATTGTATCACAGCTAATGCATCATGGAGCATCACCCAACACTACCAATGTGGTGAGTAACAGGTTGCTTTTCAGCACAGCGGGGCTCTGAGTGCGTGACAGTGTCCGTGAGCAGCACTGTTGGGAAGTGCATAATTCTGGTGTTAGTCACCCGCCTCCTTAGCAGTCATGGCTCCTGCTGGAGTCTTGAGAAAGCAAGGCCTGCTGCCACCTGCTTGGGAGGTGCTTGATAGGTTTAGGAGACCTCAGAAGAGGCTGACCTTAAGCAGACTCTATTCTCTTTATTTTTTTGAAGTAAATAATCAGAACATACTGTAGCTTCTCTCATGTAATTTTTGAGATGTGTACTTGACTGTTCTCCCAGCACCCCGGGGGCTTGCCATTTAAGGGAAGTTATGCTGTTATCAACAGATTGCAGCAGATTGTCGGGACATATTGCCTATGTCCATACAGCCATACAAGTGTGCTTTTCTACTGGATGTGCACTGTGTGCCTCAAGGCTCCCAGGGCATGTGTAAAAATTGAAGTCATAGTTAGATGGTACTTGAAAGTTGAGAAATGGGAGGACAGTAGAATCTCCTTCACTCTTTTTAGTGCTTTGGTCTCAAAAATCTTGTACAGTGTACAGTTAGAAAAGAATATTTTGTTTAAAGTCTTCATCTGCTAGTTGTATAAATTATATACATTTGCAACACTGTTTTCATAAACGAGACGTTTGTTCCTAAAGATATACTTGCATCCAAAAATCTAGGAAGCAGATTCCCCCTGAATTTATTCCAGTTTCCTTAAATTTGTCTTTCATTAAGTCTTTGAAACCTTGATAGAAATGATGGTGATGTTTTTTTTTTCCCCACGTTCTCACATTTCAGTACTTATCAGATAGAAAATGATACTGAGAGAATTGGGCATAGCAGGAGAAAATCCAAGAAAACTATGTTTCTGAATGGACAAAATTTAAAAAAAAAAAAAAAAAAAACAAAAAAAAACAAAGCACTAAAATAGGCTTTATTTAAAAGGGTATAATTTTAAACACTGTAAATTGCTAGTAGGAAAAATGCGTTCTCTTTACAGCAAAAGGTTAGGCACAAAGCCTGTTGTGTTAAGGAAGGGAAATTGCTTGGTAGCATGCAGTTCACAGCTTAATCTCCCATCTTGCTTACAGACAACTGTGGATTTTCTAACTGCGATTATTCTGAATTGCATCACCAGTATATATTTGTGATTATTAAATATGTTGCCTTTGTTTTCCTTGTGTGTTTTCTTGTTTGTTTTGTCATCTTTGATATTTTGTTTCTGCTATTGCTAGAGAGGAGAAACAGCACTGCACATGGCTGCCAGAGCAGGCCAAACAGAGGTCGTTCGATACCTAGTACAAAACGGAGCTCAGGTGGAGGCTAAAGCTAAGGTAAGATGATTTATGTTTAAGGCTGTTTAATAAAGCGGGAAATTGCATTCATATTGCATGTGTTATTTGGAAAGAGAAAAGGGAGATGAAGCCAAGGATCTTGGCATAAAGGTCACTAATATTTTGTTACATACTTCATCACTGTAGTCATGAGTGAGCTGAATGTAAGAGGGAAGGCAGGAGATGTCAAATTGCCACCATGATTGTTTTTTCACCAATATATGATACAGACTATTCTATCTTTGAATTTTGATTTGGGGTAAGAGATGCAGGGCAAGGTAGGAGGAATACCTCAAATCTGGTTTTATTTTTGCAAAACTGTGATCACTAGGCTGCTGATGTCTGTCGTCATATCCCTCAAGCATCAGCCTGTATGCATTCAGAAATAGTTAGACTTTTAAAGAACACTTCCTACAGGGCTCACCAGAGAGGTGGCAGATCTGAAACTCCTTAGAAAACAGATGTGGGAGCTTTGGGCAGCTGGAGAAGACTGTCCAGGTCAGCTGGAAAGGAAAAGTAAGTTGCTTGTAGGAGTTTCTCAGCAGCAGATGAAGATGAAGAAGAGCAAGCTTAGTGTGGGTGGATGAATGTGGGAGCCTGTTTCAGTTGGAAGATCACTGTTATGGAAGAATGGGAAATGTATTAATTTGCATTATTCCTCTGCATTTCAAAGAGTGGAATACACAGGAGCTATTTTAATAGCTCAGGATAAGTGATACTGTGGAAGATTCTGTGCAAAACAGAGGAATTAACCAGAGTCAGTGGAAGGAAAGAATTTGGAAGAGCAAATGAAGGGCACGTACAAGAGAAAAACAAACTTCCTAGATCAACACAACCATTGCCTTGACCTAGCTGCAGGATGAATTGGTCTGTCTACAGGAAAAGCAACCTGAAAGGCATGATATGGGTACTAAATCAAAAAAGTGTGGAAGGCACAGAAGGAACATGTAGAATAGAGCTGGAAAAAAGGAGCAGACTCTACAGAAAAAAATGCAACTGAGGAAAATAAAGGAAGAAGGCCAAGAAATGGTCAAGAGCTACTGAAGAAGCATAGAAAAATAGAAATAGAAGTTCCGGGATGCACACAGGGAGAGTAGATAAATGGGCATAATGTATGGCCATTGTAATTGGTGGGATAATAACCACGATTTTTTTTTCCAAATAGTCACTAAATACATACAATTTCAAAGAGATGTGCTTTTCACTGTGAAATTATCATCTGAGAACTGCTTACTAGTAAGAGCATCTACTTATAAGGAACTCTGACTAAATATTTATAGCAGATATATTGCATGTCTGGGAGTAGTCTGACAATAGAAGTGAATCATGTGGTTTGTAAATCTAAGACATTCCTGAAAGTGAACAGCTTGTGTTCAGAAGCACAGTCATGCAACATTCTCTAAATTTCGCACAGTGAATTTGAGCAAGCTGCCATTACTGTAATCAACATGCCTCATAAATAACAACTAAACAGAATAGATTATACACCAGCACTAATACCAATTAGGACTTCAGTAGAATTAATTTTCACATGCAATTTTAAAAAGCAATAGAAAGATAATAGAATCTGACCAAATGTTTTCTGTCAAAATATGAGTCTTAGTTTTCTGATGTAGAATCGTGATTTTCCCCTTTATGTTTAGGATGACCAGACTCCGCTGCACATTTCTGCTCGACTGGGAAAAGCAGATATAGTACAGCAGCTGTTACAGCAAGGAGCGTCTCCAAATGCAGCTACAACTTCTGGCTATACGCCCTTGCATCTTTCAGCTCGAGAAGGCCATGAAGATGTAGCTTCTGTTCTTTTGGAGCATGGTGCATCTTTAGCTATTATTACCAAGGTAAGAGAGATGCAGAAGTGATAGCTTCTATAGTAAAATATATCTGTAATGAGTGCTACTGGCAAGTTAAATGCTAGAATAGTTATATACATATACGAATGATATGAGATTGAGCTGCATGTTGTTAAAAAGGTTCAGAGCTTTACTCTTTAACCTCAGAACCTGATTTATAACACATCCTAGTGATGTGACACGCGTTTGCTTAGAATGAAAGGAATGCAGAGCAGAGATTCTTGATGGGAGCTGATAAGCTGTTGCCCAGCCTTGTCCTTGGGTCGTTGAAAAGGAAGGAACCATCTTTCTCTTTAGTCATCTTTTTAGTCATTTTTATATGGGTAGAGCTTTTCCTTGCAAGGGAAAGCCTTCAAACCTTCCAGGGCAGTGAGAAACTATGGACTTGCTTGCCTGTATATGGAACTGTTAAAGGGGAGTAGATAGAAATAGTGTATCTCTGTAGATTGGAGGCATACTTTGCCCCGACTGTCTAGACACCAAGGAAGAAAGTGCCTGAGGCTGCTATGTGCTCTCTCCTACAGAAAGGATTTACTCCTCTACACGTGGCTGCAAAATATGGGAAAATTGAGGTAGCAAACCTCCTGCTTCAGAAGAATGCATCTCCTGATGCTTCTGGGAAGGTAGGACAGAAGTCACTTCTATTTGCACAGCAAGCATATATACACACATAATATGATAGTAATACCCTTCTACCTGCTTGCCCTTGCACACACACTAACATTCACATCCTGCTTTTAACTGGAGTAAGTTTCATGTGATATCCTTGTTCCTACTTGCACTGCCAGGAGTCTGCAAACTTAACAAAGGTGACTTTTATTGTCACTAATTGACAGCAAAATTATGTCCTCTCAGTACGCATCCAGGGTAATGGAAACAAACAACTCCCCTGCATTGCTCCCCAGACTATTTACAATCCTTAACAGAGTATTCAGGCAGCTGGCTCTGCTTCCCCAGGCCCCATGATAGGGCAAAGGCCCAGTAGGACTTCAAGCTTTTTAAACCAGCCCAACTTGCATTTTTAAAGATCCAAGGGACAATTTACTTTGAGCAGTGCAGTAAAAGAAAAACATTGCTGAGGTTTTGACCTCAGGGTCAAAATTCCTTACTTGCTCTGTCCAAGAGGCAACGCTGACATGTACTTCTGTGCATCTTCCCTGGGAAAAGCGAAAAGGGTTCACACGTCTCAGTAACAATTTTGAAAACCTTGTTTCAATTTTTGCTTCAACATTTATCGAAGAATCTGGATACATGAATGAATAAAAAATGTGTTTTTTCGCCTTTTCTCTAAACTTCCAAACTCTTTAGTTTTTCCTGGAGAGGGTCTGTAACAGCACTTGTTTGTTCTGCATGTTTTTAGAGCGGTTTAACACCACTGCATGTAGCTGCACACTACGATAATCAAAAAGTGGCACTCCTACTGTTGGACCAGGGAGCTTCACCTCATGCATCTGCCAAGGTACAAGTACTGGAGAATAATAGCTAGCCTTTCTGTCACTTTTTTTTCCTGTCTATATGCTCTTTCTAGAATGTATGTGCTTGCAATAGCAGTGACCTTGTTTATAAAATCTTACAACCACATAAAGCTTTGTAAGCTGTTAGAATGATTCTACAGATTAATAAAACAGTAATAAAAATAAAAAATAAAAGCAAATATAGATGTAGAAAAATCTGAAATTATTAGTTTCACTGAAGATTGAGCCTTGCCTTTGCTTGTCCCATCTCCATACTCTCAGAAGTCCAGCCAACTTTGTATCACTGTGTCTTAACATCTTCACAGGACAAGCTTGGACATAATTCTTTGCTGTGCCCCAGTAGTGCCCCTGTATTGTGCCACAGAAGGTGTGAAAAGTTTCTCAGCACAACATACAATGTTACTGATGTGCTTCATGGTATTTCTAGTGGAGTGTAAATGGACAGTTGAGAAAACTAGTCATAGCCCTGCTTGGTTTGTAATTTACTCTCAAGACAAAGCATAGCGTTAAGATTTCAGATGTGAAAGAATAAATACTTGAATGCATAACAGTTTTATGAATAGAAGAATTTAGAGGAGTTTTTAAAGTTTTTCTCCTTTCTGGATCCCAGTTTTAAATATTGTCACATAATCAGTAGTTGGACAACAGTGATAAGTAAAACAAGGTTGCAAACCTGTGTAGGTTCAGTTAGGCAAGTGTGGTGCAAATATCCTGTTTGAAGCAATCCAGATATATTACTAAAATCACCATGAAGAAACACTGTGGAAAAGGGTGAGCTAGCAGAGCACTTTCAGGCAGTCATCTCTCCTTGATTGCCTTCCACTTACACATGACTGATTACGGCCATAATAGGAGAGCCCTTTTGCATGGCTAAAGAGGAGGAAAGAAACTGTCATACATGGGAGCTCCCAGAGCTTATGGTGCAAAACTTAAATAAACATGGATAGCCTGCAGAAATAGCACAGTCTGAAATCAATAAATGCCAATAGTGGCAATCCGCCAGAGCAGTGCCCCAGGAGGTGAACTGAACTGATCTCCGATCTTTTACTACTGCAACACAGCACTCCTAAATGCCATTGTGGGGAAGGAAAGACATTCTGAAAGGGATGAGAAGACACTGACTTTCCAATTATAAATAAAAGAATCTGCCTTTCACTGCCTCTGGATTCTGTGAATCATGTAGGGAGCAGGGGTTGCAGTACCCGCTGCAGAAAGCTTGGGAAGCACAAACCAAAGTGGAAGCACTATAGCTTACAGTATAATACTACACAAACTCAAGTGTCAAGGTCACCTTAGCTTCCCCATTTGCAAAAATAATAATAATTTTGCAGCTGCCACTTCAGGCCTTCAGTGCTAGCTATGTCTTCCTGAAAGAGAACGTTTGTTAGTCTTCTGCAGCAAATACACAGGAGCACACTGAGCAGAGCATCAATATTAAATAAAATTAATGGTAGAATGTTTGTCGCTTTAGGCACAAACAGTGTAGTCATCTGAAAGATGATGTTGGTAACAGCAGATGATTTCCCATTTTGCTAGTGTGGCCTAATAAATAAAGGTGTTACATCATAACTCTCATCACTAGCTCTGCAGTTAGTTGCTTTCTTTATAAGACTCTTCATCAACAGTCATCTTAAGAATTGTTTGTTTTGTTAGCCAGGCCTTGTAGAGGGATTAGTGAAGGGGTGTGGGAAGTGGCCGTGTCCCATACAGTCCTCTAATACAGCTATTCAGATAAACCATTCTTCCTTGTTGCCTAAAATTAGGCTTCTGCTTTATTTTAATTTGCCATTCACTTTGCAATGCCTTCCTTCCCTCTCCCCCTCTCAAGGCTTTTTTTTCTCTCTGCCCTTCCATCTTTAACCTTATTCACTTTTTGCCCCTTTTTCCTGGCAACCAGAATAACCAAATACTGTCCCTCCAAACTTTCATGTTCCTTTCTGCATTTATTTGTAATGACAGAGTGCAGCCCTTACCATAAGAAGATGCTATCTGAATCTGAGTTTCAGTTTTTGTTTTTCAGCTGTCTTTGCCTTCTCTTGGTGACCTGCTCTTTGTCATTCCACTAAAAGTGAAGTATGTCAATTTCTGAGGAAAAGACCTGAAAGTGCACTTGTATTTTGTCATATACAAAATATATGCTATATAGGATTTAACACAGAGAATAGGTGCTTATGTGGTGGTGTCTGTTTTACATGTCAGTCTTACGCAGGAAGTCTGAGAGAGGGGACTGCATTTGTTTTTCTTGATGCACTTCATCTTCCAAGTGAACATTAATGCCCATGCCCCTCCCTCATTAGCTGTGGCACTGCTGTTCCTGGGTGTCATTTTGGAAGTGCTGCAGTCTGCTTTGCTGAAGTGCTGAGCACTCCCACTCTGCTCAAGTAGGTGCAAATTGCGTTTTGAACAAACAGTACAGGCTGTGTTAAGCTGACTGTTCTGCAATATCTTAATATCTAAGGGCTAACCCAAATAACGTTAAAGGCTATGGAGCCTTTTCCATGTGCAGTTAGTGCTGTACATCTTTCTCACTTCCAGATTACTACCAGTGCAGTCTCACAAACGTTTGCATGCCCCTGTGCATTTATTCTCTGTTCCTCCTGCATTGCCCTACATCTATTGTATCCGGCCCTGCTGCCTTGTGGAGTGCAGGGAGGGCATGAGCCAGGTGAATGGCTTTGTGCTTTTAGATAGATTTTATTGGACTGTGTAATTTGAAATGTACATGGTAATTACTATACCATATGAAGTGTTCATGCAGCAGAGGTCTTAACTTCTTACTTAGTCATATACATATGCATTCATGTTTGCCATTAGCTTTAAAATAAAGTCTGATACATTTCTAAGTGATGGAAAGTTCTGGATTAAAAAGGTCTTGCAGTTTGTACCAAAAGTGAGTGAGTTGTGTTTTGGTCAGTATTCCGGTATTTATATGCTAATAATTCATTTTTATTACTCTATTTTCTGCCAAATCATCTTTTAGAGTTACAAAATTTTATGCGTTGATAGGAGAGAAAAGAAGGAAAACAAACAGAAAAAGAATACAAGACAAATGTTGCATGCTTTAATTTTCCCTTGATCTGGACCAAGAAAGTCTGTTGGTAGAATTAGACTAAATGCTGCAAGAAAAGCAGTGTTTCATATACACAATGCTTTCATTCACACTGGGAAATAGGAAAAAAAAACAACCCCACAAGTCAGTAACAGCTGTTGAAAGTTGTGAACACACATCCTGCTCTTCTCTTTGTTAAAGATTCTATCTCATTGTTTAATGAATAGCTTGCAATGAAGTGCTTTCTGTTGACAGAACGGCTACACGCCACTACATATAGCTGCCAAGAAAAACCAGATGGACATAGCAACTACACTGCTGGAATATGGTGCTGATGCCAATGCTGTAACCAGGCAGGGTATTGCCCCTGTACATCTGGCCTCGCAGGATGGCCATGTGGACATGGTGTCCTTACTTCTTACTAGAAATGCTAATGTAAATCTCAGCAACAAGGTAAGTGTTTCCTCTGCTTGGTGCTAAAGCAATAAACAAACATAGTGACAGGAAGGATAGAGGCCTCCAGTTTTATCCAGTATGATTTTGCAGGTTCTGAAAAACACTGTAGGTGTTTGAATACAAATTGCTATTTCTTATAGCAAAGAGAGCAGCGTGCAGCAAGTGCTCTGTCAGATTGAATGAACTGTATTTTGTAGTCCCCAGGTTTTGATGATGTCTAGCACCATATGCTGCAGAGGAATTTATAAATCCATCTCCCTCCCTGTCATGTTATACTCATCTGCCAAAATATGCCACGGGAGAAAATGTCTTCCTCACCCTAGTGCTTAGTGTGATGTTGTGGAGTCACTTAGGAGTCTTCAGAGATGTGCCTGTCCATTAAGCAATGGTAACAGCTAACTTGCTAAGGGAAACTAGTTTTTTTTCTTTCTTTGTTTTATGAGGTTGTAACAGTGAGGTAGTCAGAGATTTTGTTGTTGTTGTTCATTAAAGGGACTCTTCCTCCCAGTAGATGTTCCTTACAGCACAGTGACTTTTACTGCAGTTTCTCCTGGGATCAGGAAGAGAAAAGCTAGTAGATCTTAGTTTCTGCAATTTTATAGATTATTAAGTCTACTCTATGGTAATGTTTCTAGCAAATGTGCAGCCTTTATTCTTTAAATGCTCTCCCTAGCCATCAAAGATCTTGCAAAGTGCAGTTTCAGTGTGGATTCATGTGACTAATGTAGAAAGGCAAGAGTAAAATTTTTCATGGAGAACATTTCTCATTCTCAGTAGGTAGAAAAAATTTGCGTCCTCTGAGGCTGTGGACGGTGCTGCACAGGGTTGCTTATTTTCAGTCCCTCCTTGAATAGGTTCTCTTGAGGATGTTGATTTGCCCTCATGTCAAAGTGTGGGCTTGTGCAGCATTGGATATGTTTTGTATCGCTGTCATACAATCTGCCACGTACACATTCTGCATCACGTTGGCTATGGAGAGCATGATAACTGCTGCTTAGTTTTTTATGCAGTCCCACCATTAGTTACCTGCAACATCTTCCAGTCCATTGCTGTTCGGTTGCAATCTCTTGTTTTCTCATTATACAGATATTAGCACCTATGAAAATAATTGTCCTATACTTGCTTAGCAATGCACATTTCCTCTAAACTCAGCACCTTTATATGAAGCTAGGCATTTAAAGCACAACAACTCTGAGTTTGGCAATGGAAGTAAAAGGCCCTTTGTTTTCTTCAGAGTCCACAGGGTAGATGGGAACTGAGTGCTCAAGTTTCAAGACTTGCTAGAGTTTCAGTGCTGACACTGACCACTTACTAAAACTTTTAAGAAAGTTTGGCCCATAATATTCAAGTCCTGTTGTGTAATTTACAGTTGATTACTTTTATATATTCATCCAGTGGGATCCACCTAACCATTGTTGTCATCAGCACTGCCTTTTCAAGAGCAGTATTGTTATTGCCTTTAGTCAGGAGTCCATGCTGCAAGCTGTGGGTGGAATGTGTGCAGTCCTGTGGAGATTTATTTGGGTTTAAGGATAGGTAAGGCTTAAATCTGAACATATATTGCTGGTAAAAATTTTGTGGAAGTCTAAGCAATTATTCAAATTTTCTTTTAAAGTCTTGCTCATTCTGAAGAAGTGAACTAGCCAGGAGGGGAAAAAAATACTGTGAGGCTTTTTTCTCAAGTGCATTATAAAATTTGCTATTTTCTATTTAATGTCACACGAGGAAATGTTCCTTGTGTGAAAGAAATATTATCTTCATAGTTTTAAGTTGTAGTTTCTTGCAATTGAATAAATCAGGAATTGCAATACACAGCTTCTAAGTGAAAGTAGAATTATTCACATCTCTAACTTCAGCAGGACTTTCTGAATTTTACTGATATTGAATTCGTATTTATGTGTCACCTCTCAAGATTGTTACCTGCTTCTCCTCATTTACAGAGTGGACTGACACCATTGCACTTAGCTGCTCAAGAGGACAGAGTCAATGTAGCAGAGGTTCTTGTTAACCAAGGAGCTGCTGTTGATGCTCAGACAAAGGTATGGATGCCACTGTCAACATGTATTGTTTTCTTTCAGGGAGGCAGAAGCCTGTACACTGGTCTGGTAATCAGTTTCAGACTGAAACAGAAAAAACAGCAGTGAAACATTCCTTGTAATAAGTTGTAGATTATATTTTGAACACTAAAGACGTAAACCTCTACATTTAGTATTATACTCAGTCTGTGAGCTGTAAGCTTATTTCTTGCCAAATGTTTAGATCAGTATATATGTTTCCTACTATTGAGTTTTACTGAAGATGAGCAGGATTGAGCTGTTTTTTACATAAATAAACTTTCAGAAAAACTAGAACTCTTTCTACAGGGAGTCATGTAATCTTTTACCATATGCACACACTCATGTGGTTTAGTAGTTTTTACATGTTGCACGTACTAGCGCTCATCTAACAGTAGAAACAAAACACAGGAGAACTGTTGTTTACAACATCTATATTTACAGCTGGAGAAACAATGTAAATGCAAAGTAGGCATTCCTTGTTATTAAGTGGTTAATAGTTTTTCCTATGACTTAATAGAGTTTGTAGAATTGAGTAGTCTTTTGCTGAGCTGTTACTAAGCAGTCATCCATAGGCATGATTCTACAAGTTTATTAGTAAAGACTTACCCTTGCTCTCAGAGCTTGAATCAGCCTTCATGACTGAATGTGCCTACATTTCTCAACCATTCTATTTTGCAAAGTACAGAGCACTAGTCTATTTCGTAATACTGGTACATTCTAGGAAACTGACTTTTTTGAGGGTCCCAAACTGAGATTGGGCCAGTGTCCTCCTGATGTTAGGTACTGGATAAATATTGCTCTATTCTGTCTTCAGAAATACTATTGAAGTTGAAACATATACCCCTTCAGAACAAATTTGAAATTATTTAATGCTGTTATTGGATACAGGGTATATATACATGCTGATGGACATTTTCGGACTTACCGACCTAAAAATAGTTTTTCTTAAAGTAAATAATTGGACCTCTTGATAAGAGGATTTATAACTATTTTCTAGAATGACTGGGAAGGGATTTTGGAACCCCAAGCAATTATTCCCCCCACTGCACAATGTTGGTTTGGGTATGGTGTCTGTGACCTAATTCCAACAAGCTGTCTAGAAATTATTTTATACTTGGTGTATACCATGCTTAGAACATAAAGATGATAATCTCAGTGTTGATTTCATTTAAATTCTTCATGCGTTACCTGGATCTAGGAGACATTCCTTTAGCTGGGTAAGAAATCAGTTGTGATCAAGTACTTGAAAAGTAGCTGATCAAATCAGCTAAAATAAATGAAGTCCCACAGTCTGATCTGGATTGTTTAGAGACTTGTGCAAGATAGAAGCATTAAAAAATCTGTTAAGCATGTATCCCCAAGTTAAGTGCTGTGCTTGCATCACAGAAATGTGTGCCCAGCCATCCAACAATACTATCATTTCGTCATCACACTGACATTTCAAAAAAGGCTGAATCCATCATCATCTCTTGCTGCAGGTTGGCTGATTGTGATTGATGATAGTGGGAAAAGTCATAGGTACTTTCTGTCGTATAATTCCAACTTTTGTTTTAAGCTATTGATTTCAGTGATGTTATTCTGGCATGAAATTTAATATAGTCCTTATGAAATCCCAGGAGTTTGTCCAGTTTTGTACTTTTGTAACCTGTTCTCAACGTGTTTTCCAGATGAATCAGTGTAGGTTCTTGTCAGCTTGCTAAATCATTCAGCAGCAGATGAGATCAGCCCTGGTTCATTCTTTGGATGATTTCCTTAGATGTAACTGGTTGCCTTTCTGGAGAAAGGAAATCTACCTTGTTTTGGTTTGTGTAGAACAATCTGCTCTTTTAACTTGGTCAAGAGCTGAATCACCTCCTAGTCTGTAAAACTTGTCTCTGCCTTTCTCCCACTCTTCTCCATCCCACAAATAGTAAACAGTCTAAGGAGATATTTACATCAACAGGTGCAGGCAGTCATGTGTCCCCTTTGCCTGCTCTCCGATGTCCAAATAGGATCCAGTTCTGGAGTAGTGGCCTTTCAGTCACATTAACGTGGTGTAGTGCTGAAATACTGTCACAGCTGAGAAGAAGAACGTGTTTGTTGTGCTTCAGGGAAAACCTGTGCTGCTGCACGAGCTCTGTGCTGAAAGGTGCATGTGGCAGGATGGCAGTGTGGTCAAGCAAGCATGAAACTGTAGAGACACGTGGGAAAAGGGCTTCAAATTCTTATTTAGAGATCTCTGGATGGAGCTGAATTTCTTAATTGTATCTCTGAAAGTTGAGCTAGTCAGTAAGTAAAACTATCACAAGTGAAACATACAAAAAAAGGAAAGCAACAGCAACAACAAAGAACAACCAAGGAATTGTATTTGACCTGCAGCTTGAATCCTGTCATCGGTAATAGTTGTATCATTTTCAAGAAAAAAAAAAAAAGATGCCTGATGTTCATCCTCATTCTTCAGTTGTTCCTCATGCATGTAACTACTGTAAGTAACGAATTGCTTCCTAGTACAGATTTGCTTCCACAGGACATCCCTTTAGTTGCCAGGACATGGAGCAGGAACTCATAGGTCAGACAAAGTCCTCAGTGTATTTTATGCTCAACTCCTCTTGGGTAATAATTCTCCCATGTCTGGGAGAATGTAACTATTAACCTTGTGGGTCTATGATGATGGCTTGTACTTTTGCCTACTGTCCTAACTCATCTTCTCCTAAGGAAGAAAGTGCCTTGCGTCTTGTAGTACTATATTCTAGTGGAGTGAGCTTGGTGGTTATTCACTGACTTCTGCAGGGTGTTGTCTGCTGGGTTTGCAGCAATGACCTCTGCAGACTCCTCACAACCAGCTATGTGGAAGTTATCTGTCAGATACCCACTCATTACAACCCGTGATATAGGATAAGTTGCAATGCAATGCCATGTATTTTAACATGGAATAGTTTCTGCATTAACTGGAGATCGTCTTGCATTCCTAAGAAAAGAGCCAGCAAGCTCTGAACTTCTACAATGAAGGAGAAATAGTTTTGCGGCAAAAGCTACAATATCTTCACCTCGTGTTTTATACAGGTAAGGTTTGGATGACTGGCTTTGTAAAACAGCAGTTCTGTAGTTACAGGCTCTCTTGTTGAGATGGATTAACTGTTCTATGAGAATAAAATGTCTGTGCGTGCTTCCCCTAAAACCAGAGGCACTGGGGAGGAAGATACAGCAACAGCTGAGTTGCTCCAAAAGCACTGTTGCTATGCTTGCATGTTTGCATGATACCATCCAGCACATCCAGTTCAGGTTTTTACTTTGTGCATAGAGTGTCAAAGGTGTATCCATCTCTGCTCTAAAATCCAAGAAGTCGGTCTGTACAGCTTAGTGACATTATGTTGGGGATCTCTGTGGGCCTCCAGCAGTGTCAGCACTAACCTTTCATTTTCTTCTCTTATTTCTCTTATTTTATATGCTTTTATTGCCTTATTTGTTGTAGGCTAGACAAACAGCCAAGCCTTTTATCATTATTATTTATTAGATTCTCTCAACATCATGTTTCCCAACGAAATGTTGGTTGTGTCACTCCCACACAGTTTCCATCAATGGAGGTAATACTCTTAGCATGTCATTCAGCATCTTGGGTAAGGCCAAGTGAGCTATCAGCTTCCACCTCTGGTGTGAGTTCTTTAATCGTCGTTTTTATATAACTTACAGTCCTTCTTAAAACATCTAGAGTTTGCAGCTTTATCACATGGGAGTACTTCTTATTTCTGCTCACGTTCACAGAGCCACGGATATGATTTGGGGTTATTTGGGCGATTAAAAGGGAAGATTGGGCAGAAACATATTTAACACCCTGAAGCTATAGCAAGGAAGAAAAAAGATCTAATACTATGGAAAACCTCTTCTGTGGGACATCCGTCTGTGTGATTTAAAAAGGTTTAAAAAATCAAATCTAGTGTTTTAGAGAAGGCACAATAGGGTCCTGCTGCAAAGGCAGCAGCTTTTGCCTGTTCTAATGTTTCATTTGTGTCTGAATTTAGGTACGCTGAAGACTGTTTCATATGAAACTGTTGTGCAGTATCACGTCTATCTCAGCTTATATTATCCCCTCCTTTTGCACATAATACTGGGAGGTTACAATTAATTTGAAGCTGTGCAGTGAGCAGATGTTTCTTCTCCTAATAATCATGTTGAGTGTGTAAAAGCTGTCCTGGCACATGTGATGTTGGGTTTCATTGCAGAGCTTCTGTGCTAAGAATTGGCATGAGTAAATATTGTTTCATGGATCAGCAAATCTTCACAAGTCATTTCTCAAACCCGTTTCCTGCTGGATAACATTATTGTAGGATACAGCATTAAGGTGATGGATGGACAAAAGAAAACCAATGGGAGGAGAGTGCTGGTTCAGTCAAGGATTTTCATTCTGTGCAGACAGTTTTCAGCAAACAGTTGTTACACTGTGCTTGGTATTGTGCCTCTGGGGAACTTGTGGTCTCATAGTCCCTGGTTGACAACTGTCTGAATAATAAAGCCCATCATAAAACTGCCTTTTGTTCCTAAGGCTGTAGTGGTGGTAGAAGATAAAGGTGACTGAGAGGTCACAGTGTTGTTTTGCAGGTTGAGCTGGGCCTTTTTTATCAGATTTATTTAGATATTTATTCAGCTCAGCCTGCCCTTTTCTGAGAGGAGCCCCATAGCAGCCTGAGTGCTACAGCGGCTCCTAACCGTGCTCTCATTTTTATTTTGGAATAACCAATTTTCAAGTGCAGTAAGAGAGTGGGAGTGGGGCAGAGAAGGTGGAAAGTGCTATCAGGAAGAATCACTTTCACAGAACAAACACATAAACATGGGTATCTTAATGTGTCTTCATGGTACATCCTCTCTCTCTCCCCTTGACTCTTGGTGCAAGCTCAGTTGTTATTCAGACATTTACGTGGAAATTTCCAGCCTAATAATGCAAGACAAAGAATTCAACATGTTTGGCCACGATTCAGCACTGCAGTATGTGTGTAGGTACCTATAGG